GTTATGCAACCCATAGCATGTGCAGTCATCCATCTGGGCCTCTCTGCATCATCTCCACGGGGCCCTGGGCAATGAGTCTGATGCAAATGTGTGCATGTCCATGCTGCTTGATGTGCCACAATAACGTCTTTTGTTTCTGACCCAGGAGTCTTGTATCTTCTGCAGGCACCCATGAAACTGTGTTCCCAAACTCTCCCTGTCACCGAGTTGATTTCAATTCATAGAGACCCCCATTGGATTTTCAAGGCCATAAATCTTTATGGAAGTAGACTGCCCCATCTTCCTTCCATGGAGCTGTTGGTGGGTTTGAACTGCCAACCTTCTGGTTAGCAGTCAAATGCCTTAGGCACTATGCCGCCAGAGCTCCTTAATTGTTTACAAGTAGGGTAAAATTTAAGACCCTTCATTCCTGACAGCACTGCTCCTACTGATATCAGTGCCACTGCCCAAATCCCCAAGCTCCCAGGTCTGCCCTGCTACCAGCAAACTTAGAAGAACAAAGACCCAAACTGTAAAAGTATGTGTTAACCAGGGACAGAGGAGTTACTACTTTTTTTTTTTTTAACAAAAGTGTTCTCTGCTTTACAAAAAGATTCATCACATGCCTCTTTTAAATAGAAAGCTATACATGGCACCTAAAAGAGGATGTGCTTTGTCCCAAAGAGCTGGGTGAACACAGAAGTTTTATTGAATATATAATGTGAAACAAGGTTCACCCAAGCTTTTGGATGGTGACATGAATGCCAGTAGATTAGGCCTAATGGTGGAGTCTTCAGACACCATCATGGAGCCCACTGTCTTCTTTCTAAACACCAGCTGGCAGGATGGTTTAATAGCTTTCTCCACCTCCTTAAAATAAAAAGCAACTACTCAAGTCTGGAGTCAAGTTAATTAAATTGTGCCAATATCAATTTCCTGGTTTTGAAAATGTACAAGAGTTATAGAAGATACTACTCTTACGGAGGGAGCTCTGATAGCATAGTGCCTAACGCACTTGATTGCTAACCAGAAGGCTGGAGGTTCAAACCCACCAGCCACTCTTCGGAAGGAAGGTTGGGCAATCTACATCCGTAGTGATACTGTCTCAGAAACCCAAGGAGGGGTCACTATGAGTCGGGTCCGACTCCACAGCACATAACAACAACAACAACAACAACAACTCTTAGGGAAAGCTGGGTGACAGGTCCAACACTTAATGGTTATGTAATGGTGGAAAGTGACTTGACTTCTCCTTCAGTTGGAGACAATGCCACCTACCCTACAGGATGGTGGTAGCACTGCAGGGGAGGTATGCAGAATGCCTAATATTTTTGTATTTTTCTCTTGAATGTAATTATTTCAAAATAAAAAGCTTTAAAAATATGCTGTGGCTTAGAAAATCAGATAGTCTATCATGTTTGATTCATAATTAAATGAAGATAGTGCTTTGAAAGATTTGGGACTATCCTATTTGTAACCACATTAAAACAGCAATAAACTAAATGGTTTAATTGTAAAAATCAGTTACTCAACACCAGTGACCTCACTCAGTAGAATGAGAGAGTCCTTCCCGGTCATCCTAACCCCCATAAGATTCAGGTCACTCTCCAGCCCCAAACATCATACTCCCAAAGCACAAGGCAGCAATGGTGGCCAGAGAGACTGCTGGGGTGCTTGTCCTCAGGCAGAGCCTCCCAGGTCCCTAACCTAGGAGAGGTGCAGTTGTGAGAAAGAAAGGGCAAAGATAGAGTCTAGCTGAGGCTGGCATTGGCAATGCCAGTTGCCCACAGGACAAGGTAGAAAGAATCACAGCTCTGTGGCTTATTCACTAAGTGATGATGGAAAAGTAATTGGGCACTCTTTAAACTGGGGATAATGCCACCTACCCTGCAGTGTGATGGTGAGAAGCAAAAGAGAAGTATGTAGGGTGCCTAGTACAAGGCCTGGCAAAGAGTTGGAGCTCAACAAAAAGTATCTGTGTATCAGGTAGAACTGGCCCAATTCATGATCAATAAGTCTTAACAAAATACCTACTATGTGTCCAGCCCCATGATAGAAATATGAGAGAAGGGGATGTGAGCCTTGTCTCTAAGGAAGGCCCCAGAGGTCAGCAGAAGGGACAAATGTGTCTCCCTCACTCTCACATAATGTGGAGTTTGGAGGCACAGGCCTGGAAGGGGTCCCTTCCCTTCTTCCTGCCTGCACCTCCACCCCCAAGCCCTGGAGTAACTCTCTAACCTATTCTGCTCAAGAAAATAACAGGGGTTTCCTTTCCGGGGATGCTTTGCTGGAGAACTGCCTGTCCCACGTGGACTCCATAACTTCTCCTTGACCTTTCCATGGGCTCTGCAGGCCTTACAAGGGCTGGTGGTCCAGGGCACAGTGGATCTTCACCCCCACAGCCCAGGAAGCAGGTTCTAGCCCTGGTGAAAACAACTGGAGCAAGGGCAGTTCCTCTACAAACCTTTAAACAGGATCTGTATTGATATATAACACATCAGACCCCAACTTCTTCTAGACTGCCAGGTCTAGGAATTGTATTGGCTCCTTCCTCCACCATCTTGTTGGCCCTGCCCACAGAACCTCCCCCCTCCCAATCACCCTCACACTACTATAGAACGCTCTATCTGTCCCCAAGAGTCAACGGGCACCAACTGGAGTGGGTTTCTCATGGGATGGAGCCTCTGACTTTGGCTACAGAAGACCCAGGCCCTCACTACTTTTTAAGCCCACAAGCTGACCCTGAGCTTGACTACATACCACCCAGACACATCACATACCTGTATCCTAGATCTCAAGATTTAGGGCTCCTATGTAGAAATTTCTGCCAGGATTTGACTTGCAAATGAGTCAGCAACCAAGCCATGGGTTCCCTATCTCCTCCCAATTCCTCTGTTTTCCCTACCACCTCCACCAACTAGTCAAACTTCAACAAACCCCCAACCATACACCTGCAGCCATGTGGGCAGAAGATCATTCTTTGATTCTGAAGCAGGTCTTCTCTCTCTCTCACTAGCCTGAGAGCTCCTTAATAAAGAAACAAACCCAATGCCTCCCTGACTTGCCAAACCATCCCAGTCCTCACCCCTAGGGACTTACTCTTGGCCTCGCACAGATCAAGTCCCTAATAAGCACCCACTGATTGGCTGGTAAAAAGGGATTTTCCTGGGGTGCTGAACACAAGTAGGAGAAGGGAACCATTCTTTTGAGCAAACAGGCAGCCCTCACACTCCCAGGTGAAGTGCACTGCTGGCAAAAGGACACCGCAGGGCCTCGTGTTGGCTCTGGGTTACTTGGTCCACTACATCCCAGCAGGGCTCCCAGGCTCTCGGTGAGCAGAGCATGGGATTGCAGTGGAGCAAAATCCTAAGAACCAGTCCCTGGAGAAGGACATCATGCTTAGTCAAGTAGAGGGTCAGCAAAAAAGGGGAAGATCTTCAAAGACAGGATTGACACAGTGGCTGCAATGATGGGCTCAAGCTTAGCAAGGACTGTGAGGATGGTGCAGGACCAGGCAGTGTTTCATTCTGTACATAGGGTTGCTGTGGGTTGGAGCTGACTCAACAAGGATGATGGACGTTGTAAATTTCCTCAAGTCCCAAGCCAAGCAAGGCACTAAAGCTACCCACATTTGCTCCTAGCCAAGGTAGGAAAGGCAACCCTCTGCTCCCGTGGCATAACAACAACAACAACCACCACCTTCACATAGACTCTGAGCACAGTGAGCAATATATGCTCATCTTTCAATGCTTTTGAGGATAAGTGGGATGTGTGAGGGCCACCTTTCAGACAAGAACCATGAGCAAGGTACCGCTACATTTATTTTCAAGTTGATTAGCATGCATACATCCTGGGCTGGCAGAGTGCCAGGGACTAACAGGCTGCAGACCTGCTTCTTGCAAAAGTCCTGCTGGTTGTCCTTGTTCTGGAGGCTGGTCCATGGAAATCCAGGGCCAGTGGTCACCATGGTAAAGTAGGTTCAGAAAGCAGAAGCCCACTGTAGAACAGAGTTCCCCCAGGAACCAGCCCAGCCTGACTTGTGAAAGGGCAGAGGATGCAGAGAACTTGGAGGTAGCATGGCCACAAGGTTCAGGGCAGATTTGGAGCAGGAGGACTGGGGTCATGCCTCAGCTCTCCCAATTTTAAGCTGGGTGAGTTACTTAACCTCTCTGAACTCCAACATCTTTATCCTTCAAGGGGAAATTATAATAACAAAAAGAAAAGAAAAGGCACTTTGTAATTTATAAATCCATACACAATTGTAAGGCATCATAGCAATAGCATGTTAGAACATACTTGGGCAATTTTCCTCTAAATTACACAACATAACCTATTGCTTTAAATATGTTCCGAATGGTATATGGTTAATGGCTAGACAGAGCTGAGTTCAAATCCAACAAACTGTGTTATGTAAGCTCCCTGAGCCTCAGCTGCCTGGACTACATAATGATGACCAAGGATTAGAGGCCATTAGCCACGGGCAGTGTACTCAGTTACAATATCTACGACCAGGAGCCCTGGTGGCACAGTGGTTAAGCTCTTGGCTGCTAACCAAAAGGTTGGCGATTCAAACCTACCAGCTACTCCAAGTGAGAAAACATTGGGCAATCTGTGTCTGTAAAGATTACAGTCTAGGAAACTCTGGGGGCATTTCTACCCTGTCTTATAGGGTTACTGTGAGTTAGAATAGACTCAATGGCTAGCACACAACACAATGAGAATGGGAGTCAGTGGAAACAGCCCAGTCTTACTCTTGAGTAGTTCTTCACCCTTTCATAGAACTTGATCTCCGTGCTTTTTGTCAAAGAGAAACCAATTTCTGAGAGCCTGAGAAACTCCAAAGAAGTGATGTGGCCAGGGGCCAGCAGAAATGGGTCTGAGGTGGGAAAAGCCACTTTGAGGACATCAGCCTCTAAAACCAAGACTTCTGAATGCCCTGGGGAACTCGGGCCGCCCTGGCCAGCATTCCTGGCTTAGTAGCCTCGCCAGCCTTTTCTAAGGAATGCCCCACCCTTGCTTACCTGGGAGGAAGGGGATGATCCTCTGCTTGGGGTCCTTTTGGCCACCTTCAATGGGGAACTTATCCAGAAGCTGCATCTAAGAAGACAAGACAGAGGGAGGGGGTTCAGAGACTGAAGCGGTGTCCCTCAGCAGTGCCTCCCACCACAGGGCACTGCTCAGGGCTCCACTGTCATCACATGGATGAGTGATGCCTCAAATCCCTCATTTCACAGACGATTAACCAGCCCCGTGGGGCCTGAGAGGGAGGCCAGTAGCTCTCGCTGCATCAAAGGGGCGTCTGAACGATCTGCAGGAGGGGTGGGGAGTGCGGGCAGTGTCTGGAGATGCCCCAAGCAGGCTGGGGGAGGGCGTAGCTGGCTTTCAGACCAGGCTGCAGGTGGGGTTTCCAGAGGCTTCTTTGGGGCTGTTTTCTTTCATACTCCATCTGCTGGTGTAAGCCCTTCAGCCACCCACCATCCCAAGCCCTCCTGGGACAGGACAAGGGAAGGCCCATCTGATACTTTAGACAGACCACCCACCTTCCAGAACTGCCCTGAGGAAACAGACCCAGATGTTATTTTAATTGCAAAGCCAAATCCATCCCAGTGTCCCCATTACTGGGAGACCCCCTCCTCCATTTCCTATCTTCCCACCCTGGGACTGCGCTGTTTTCCTGGAGACACACCCTGTGGAAGGGTTTCCAAGGGTCTGGAGAAACTACTGTTTTTTTCTTCCGCTGTTCTAGGATGAAATGTTGTACAAAGTGGAAAAACACACACAGAACAGGATGGATGAAGCCAGGATCCCAGTGCGGGTGGTTGATCTCCCATATAGGGCAGAGGCAAGAGCTGGGGTCAGAGTGGGGAGAGCCAGGATTTATTCCTGCTGCCCTGGCTGCATGACTGAGGACAAGTCATTTTAATGTTTGTCAAGGGGGCCCACCAAGAAAATGAGAAGGATCAGTTTTGTGATAGCTGAAGTCCATCCATCCACCCACTTGTCCATCCAGCCATCCAAGTATTTATTGAGCACCTACTTAGAGCACTGGGCACTAAGGATATGGCAGCAAAGAAAAGAAGCAAAGTTCCTTCCCACACAGAGTTTGCATTCTAGTGGAGGGAGATAAACAGTAAACAAACATCTAGTATGTAGGGGGGTGATGGTGTGAAGTGCTATGAAGAAAAATGAAGTAGGGTAAGGTGTTGGAGCAGGAGAAGGGTTGTTACTTCATAGAGAGTGGTGAGGAGGGCCTTACCAAAAATAAGATAGCAGTTCAGCTGAAACCCATGGAAGGTGAGGAAGCAAGCCATTTGGACACTAAAGGGGGAGAATGTTCCAGGCATGGTGAAAGGAAGTGCAGCTAGAGTGGAGTGAGCAAGGGGCACAGGGATTGACAAGGAGACCCAAGAGGCAGGAGAGGCTAGATCATGGAGAGTCTTAGAGGCCAGGTGAGGACTCTGGGTTTATCCTGACTAAGAAGGTAATCCCCGGAAGGTTTTGTGCAGAAGAGAGAGATGATTTAATTCTTGTTTTGAAAGTATGGTTCTAGCTACTGTAGTGAATGGGCCGTAGGATGGAAGCAGGGAGGTCAATTAAGACACTGTGAGAGAGAGATGCACTGAATCTGCTGACTCAGGGCCGTATATTGAGGGACAGCAGACTCATGTGGCACAACAAAATACATAAAAATCTTGTTCCACAACCCACTTTGGTGAGTAGTGACTGGGGTCTTAAAAGCTTTTGAGCGGCCATGTAAGATGCACCTAATGGTTTCCTCTCATCAGAAGCGAAGAAGAAAATGAAGGGCATTTAGAAACAAGCAGCCCTAGGACATGATGGATCTCGAGACCAGAAGAACTAGCTGGTGGCCAGCTACCAATGCCAACCATTCAGGAAGGGATCAAAACTGGAGATCCTGGAGAGAGTGGAAGGAAAAACATGGAACAAAATCCAAAAACACAATAATGACCAGAATTACTGGTCAGATGGAGTCTGGTGGGACCTCCAAGACTATGGCCCTGGGATACACATCAGGCCTGGGATAAAACTCACTCCCAAGGGCTGGCTCTCTGCCCCACAGTAAATAAGTCTTACATGCAGAACACTCAACCCAGGGCGATGCACCCACCTACTCTACGGAGATACATCCCTTGGAGCAATTGCCCATGGGGCACCAGCGGGGCAACAGTCACATGGAGGAAAAGACAGGAGTGCACATGGACAGACAGGAGTGCATAATTAAGAAGGGCATGGGGGTAGTGGTTACTGGGAAGAGAGAGGAGAGTGGGTTAGGGTTGGGGATGGTAATTGGGGAGTGAAACCAAATGTACATGAACTGTTGAATGTAGAACAAATTCTGCTCTATAAATTTGCACCTAAAGTACAATTAAAAAAAAAAAGAAGAAGAAGAAAGTATTTTAAGCAAAGGAAAAAAAAAAAAAAAAGAGAGAGCCTATGGATGGTTGTTTGGAGTAAGGTGTTAGTATTGGAGTATGTCTGTAACTATATTTATGTATCTCTATCCAGCTCCAAGCTCTGGTAGCATAGTGCCTAAGGCACTTGACTGCTAACCAAGGGGCTGGCGGTTCAAACCCACTAGCTACTCCTCGGAAGGAAGGTTGGGCAATCTACTTCCGTAGTGATACTGCTTCAGAAACCCAAGGAGGGGTCGCTATGAGTCAGGGCCGACTCGATGGCACACAACAACAACAGCAACAACATCCAGCTCCAAGGAGCTCTGGTGGTATAGTGGTTAAGGTTATTTGGCTGCTAACCAAAAGGTCAGTGGTTTGAACCCACCAGCTGCTCCATGGAGGAAAGATGGGTCAGTCTGTTTTCATAAAGATTTACAGCCTTGTTGTATATGCACAGGGAAACAGCTCAGGGGGCAGGAGTGCATGGAGGGATGGACACAGGGAAGAGGTAACTATCAGGAGGAAGTGGGAGGGGAGCTGTTGCATTGTAGTAAATTGCAGTCAATGTCATGAGACAAAGTATATGTGAACTGCTGTATGGAAAGTGAATTTGCTGTGTAAATTTTCACCCAAATCACAATTAAAAAAAAAATAAAATCAAGGACAAATTCCAGACCAAAAAAAAAAAAAAGATTTACAGCCTTGGAAACCTACTAGGGGTCACTATGAGTTTGGTTTTTGGTATCCAGCTCCAACATATATTTTAGGATTCTCTCATATACAGTCATTATCCGATATACAGAGGTTACTTGGAGCCCACAGATGAAGGGCGGATCATTGGTAGATTCCACTCAAAACAGAGACTGCACCATTATTAACTTTCACTTCCCTGAATGCAGACTGATATTTAAACAAAAGCTGGCTCATGAGTTTCCAAACCCAAATGTTATAAATCCATCTCTCAAGCATTTAATAATTGCCTGGGCTGTGAGACCATAAACTTGTACTTAGGATTTTTAAAAAATGTTAATTAAGTACCAGTGAAGAGTAGAACTCCTATTTTCTCCTGTCTCCATCCACATTTTAAATTCTGTATTACAAACACAGAATAAATTCTGTTGTATAAATCCAAATTTAATTCTGTATTACACAAGTCATTCATGTTTGAAGTTTATGAACCTTTGATCTGGTGCCAGAGGTAGACAGACAAACAAGCAAACACTGGTGTTGTAAGAAATGACAAAGACAAACAATCAAGATTCTGCAGGAGCTGAAAAGGGAAGTCAGGGAAGACTGCCTGGAGGAGATGAAGTCAGCTGTGTCTTGGCTAGGTGTGACACTCACACTCCCTGCGCCTTCCCTGCCAAAGGGCAGTCTGAATTTCCTCAATGGGTTCATGTACCTCCAGGAAGGCGAGGTCATCTGATAGTCCCTCAAATAAGGGGGCAGGTTTGAGTGTCCTCCTAACCGGGAGGAGGTCTCTGGGAGCAGGGGGCATCTTGCAGTGAGCCTGGTTCCCACTCCTCCTTCTATAACAGGTTCTTCTCTTCCTTTACCTCTGACCTAGTCTGGGTCCCTCTGCGGCCAAGACAACCCCATCTGCTGAATGCTGGGTCAACCGGTCCTCTCCAGAGCCCTGAGCCCCCAGCTGGCCTGCTCCCCCACCCCAGCCCCCAGGTGCTGAGCCAGCCACACCTGTCACTTAATCCTCCCACCACAGCTAAGCCAGCAGAACTTCGGTGTCTGCCCTCCCCGTCACCCCCGTGGCCCACCAGCCACGGGAAAAGGAAACACAGCTAACTAGCTGCCAGTGACATTTTCTTTGCCCACAGGTCACCTTTCAAAGAAAGTAATGTGCCCCCTCTCCACCCTCCGCCCCAGGCCCCAGACTCCCGAAAACCAAATAAAGGCAGGCCTGCTGACTGTACTCTGCACGGTGCTAGCAGGGGGTGCCTCACTCCAAAGCTGCACAGCTCAGCATCTTGGCTCCACAACCCGGCAGAGTGGTGGGCGGTGAATAAACATCTGGGGCCATGTCTGACACACAATCCAAAAGCCACCCTACCCAGGGAGCAGGCAGGGTGCAAAGTGGGTTCCATGACCTGGTTGGTGCCCAGTTTGGAGGGCTGGGTGCAATGAAGCAACCCTATGAAAACTTGAGGGGCCTGTGTCATGAAGGTGCCTGACCAGGCCTTCCTTGAGAAGAAAGCCTGGGTACGTGGGCAGTGAGGAAGGCAGGCTCTGCCTAACAAGAGTTCTGCTGCGGCCACCTTTTCAGGCTGGAAGTGGATTCTCCTGTCCCTCCAGCAAGCGCCTGCCTCAGGCTGGGGCCAAAGCAGGGCCCATTGCCAGGGTCCGTCTTGGAGTGAAAGGCTTCTGGCGGAGGGAGCCCTTTGCAACCACATCAGAACTCCATAGTGTGTGGAGGACGCCAAGGTGTTTATCTAAGGGGTGGATAGTGTGAGAGATACAGGACAGCTCAACTCCAAGAGTCTGCTCCAGCCAGAGAAAGCTGATTCGGCAGCTCTCTCTGGGCAGGGTTCAGCATCAATAAACACTGGAATGGAGGAGGGTGAGCCCGGAGCCCAGCTGGGGCACATCTGTAACCCTAGAGGCCGACTCCTCACCCTTCCTGAGAGGGTGGAGTTGCCAGCGACTTCAGCTTTGGGGTCACGATCCTTA